TCTCAGATAACAAAAGTCATCATGAGATGCTCTTCTTAAGCAGACACCTCTTGTAAATTCAAACTGCGTGTCTCCTGCTCAAACTCTGAACTTCCTCAAACAGTACAATGTTACTCTTCTCATTTCCTTTATTTCCTTTCTGATGAACAGTATAAGCTCATGAATAGCAGCCACCTAGAGAGAAAATGGAAACTACAGGGCTGAGGATGCAGCTGCCTGGAAATGTGCTTGCCTAGCCTGCAGGAGCCCCTGGGTTCCATCTCTCATGCTGGGAAATGGGGGTGGGAGGGTGTATGAAAGAAAATGAACAGTATAAGGAAACTAACATAATCATAAAGGAAGTCCAAGTTAACTGCAGTTTACAAAGACAGCTGAGTTCTTGCAAGTCTTGTTTTTCGTTTTGTTTTGCTTTTGTTTAAGACAGGATTTCTCTGTGTAACAGCTCTGGAACTCACTCTGTAGACCAAACTGGCCTCAAACTCACAGAGATCCTCTTGCCTCTGCCTCTGGGGTGCTGGGATTAAAGGTGTGTGCCACCACCACCCAGCTGAGTTCTTGAAAGTTTAATAAGTAATACTCATTTACAGCCTATAAAGGCCTAGGCATGGTGGCAAAAGCCTTTAATTCCATACTCAGAAGGCAAAGACAGGCAGCTCTCTGTGAGGTCAAGGCCAGCTTAGTGTACATAGCAAGTTCCAGGACAGCCAGTGCTACATAGAGAAACCCTATCTCAAAAAATAAAGATCTTTTATAAAGGCGGGCATGATGATACACTATAGAGGCAAAGACATTAGAATCTTAGAATTGAAGTTCAAGCTCGAGGGCTAGAAAAATGGCTCAGTGGTTAAGAACACACATACTGTTCTTGCTAGAGGACCTGAGTTCAATTCCCAGCACCCACATAAGGCAGCTAGCTCACAACTGCCTGGAGCTCCTGCTTCCGGGAGTCAACACCTCTCACCTCCTTGAGCACATACACAGGCACACATAAACAACATAAATAAAAAATAAAAATAATTTTAAAGTTCAAGGTCTATATCCTAGATTGCTAGCAATCTAGAATACAAGAGACTCTGCTACAACAAACAAACAACATTTTAAAAAGTGGAGGTCCCTGGAGAGATGGTTTAATGAGCATAGGAATCCGAGTTCAAATCCCCAGCACTCCCATAAAAATCTGGGTGAGACCACACACATAACTATTGTTATGATAAAGCCAGAGGAGAACCTTGGCAGATTCCATGGCAGGGGAGGGTGACTGAAGCTGGGGACAAACATGTCAGACAGACAGAGAGCTTAGTGAGAAGTTTTAGTAGAAAGGGAAAGGGGGCAGAGACACAGAGACAGAGAGAGGACAGAAAAGGAGACAGGAAAAGTCCTGTCTGCCCCAGGGGAACAGCAGGAAAAACAGAGGGAAAGAGAGAGTAAGTGGGCAGGGGTCTGTCTTTTAAAGGGGTCCTTTGCACCTGAGTACAGACTACCAAACCATGGAACCCTGGGCTGACCAGGGTACTGCCTGAGTACATTCTGCCAGGTGACAGGGGCAGGCCAGCATAATGCTTGAATCCTTACATCTAAAACCCCAGAAATATGAAGGACAAAGTCAGAAGGGTCACCAAGACTTGCTGGCTGCCACCCTGCTCCAGATTCAGTGAAAGACACAGTCTCAAGGGAATAGGGAATGAAACACCCTCTTCTGGCCTCCATAATGCATACATAAAGCACATATACAATAATAAATAAACTTAAAGAGGAGAGTCTGAGAGGGTAGGTACAATAGCAAAGTGTTTACCTTGCAAGAATGAGGCCCCAAGTTTAATGACCACAACCTTACATCAGAAACAACAATCTGGGCTTGGTGACATGCAGTTATAATCCCTACACTGAGGAAGGCAGTGTGAATCCCAAGGCTCGTTAGGCTAGTTCTAGACCACTGAGAGACCCAGCCTTACTTAAAAAATAAATAAATCAATCAAAAGACTTTATACTAATACAAGTACAGTACAGGACAAAAGATACCAAAACATCATGAAGTTATTATCTCTCCCATTAGGTAGAAAAAGATACATATTGGGCTGGGCACTCTTTAATAAAATCTGGCACTTACAAGGTAGAGGCAGCCCTATCGCTATGTGTTCGATAGTAGCCTGGTCTACACAGTGAGAACCTACCTCAAGAATAAAACCAAATAAACAAAAGCTACACATTCCTAATTGCACCTGTCATGATTTTTCCCAGATATGCCTTCTTCACTCACAGCTATTGCCAAGCTGTTTAGCTTCTTAGTTGCAGCTCCCGACTAACACCTACCCCTCTATATCCCACAAGCAACTTGACCTCAATGCACCAGGCCCAACTAAATTCTTCCCATTGACACCCAACTTTTAAAAGTCTGCTCTGTTAGGAGTATAACATAGTGCTAAAGCATTTGCCCATAATGAACAAGGCCCTGGGTTTGAAAGCCTGAACCAGGAAAATAAGATGTTTTCTATATCCTAAAATACAGACTCCCACTTGAATGGCTATCCGGGTAAATGAAATCTCATCCACGAATCCCTACAGTCAGAAAACCTTAGTCCACACCCTGCACATGGCATCTGCCTCAGAACTGTTTCTAGAATCCATTCTGCTCCTCTCCTTACCACAGCCAAGTTCTTCTAACTCTTACTCAAGTGTAACAACTCATCTTGTCTTTCATTATCTATCTTCTTAATCTGCACTTCCAAGTGTTACAGGGCTGGAGAGACACCTCAGCTGTTAAGAATACTGAGTCATCCTCCAGAGGACCAAGGCTCAATTCCCAGTACTGACATGGCAGCTCACAGCCATCCTTAGCCTCAGTTACAGGGGATCTGATGCCCTCTTCTGGCCTATGAAGGCACCAGGCACACATGTGGTGTACACACACGTAGGCATACATACATGAATAGGTCAATTTTTTCAATTTCAGTCATTCCCCACCTCTTTTCATTCTGACCTCCAGACAATTCCCCAACACACACCCTGTCTGACGAATCTCTGACGCCCACAGGAACACCATCTTCCCTTCAGATCTTCCACCATCTCTGCAAAGGCTGTTCTCTCCAACTCAAAAGGCTGATTGTGCAAGCTCCTACTTAACCTTCAGCACACAGTTCAAGTATATCTTCCCTACTAGATCTCCTGACTTTCTGAGGCAATCACAGCTACCCATCACGCCATACAGATGCCTTCACACAGATCTGTCACATACACCCTGGAGAACTTTGTCCAAATATGTCTGATTGTTCTCCAAAAATTACTCAGGGGGTGGTGGTGGTGTATACCTTAAATCCCAGCACTGGGGAGGCAGAGGCAGGTGGGATATCTGAGTTTGAGGGCAGCCTGGTCTATAAAGCAAGTTCAGGACAGCCAAGACTACACAGAGAAACCCTGTCTTGAAAAACCAAAAACAACAACAAAAACCATTCCAAGCTGCCAGCTTAAGCTGATGCTCATAATTGTGCTAAATCAACAGCTCACCTTCACATACCTAGAATCAATTTATTTGGTCATAGTTTCCAAATTCTATGAATCTGAGTTTTTGTTTTTTGTTTTGTTTTGTTTTTTTATTTTTTGATATGTGCATTTGTATCTGTGTATGGGTATGTGTTCAAGAGTGCAAGCTCCTTCAAAAGCCAAAGATCAGATCCTGGGGTCCTGGAGTTACAAATGGCTGTGAGTTGCCTGGTGTGAGAGCTGGGAAGCAATGTGGGTACAAGAACTGAACTGGAGTCTTCTGAAAGAGCAGCAGACACTCAACCTCTGAACCATACCTCATCCCAAACCCTTGGTTTTGAGGTTTGTTCTCATTTGGAACGAAGCTGCTCAGGCTGGCCTTGAACTCAATTTGTATCTCAGACTGGCCTCAAATCCTCAGCCATCCTCCTAAGTGCTGAGATCAATATTAAACATGACAAGGCACAATGACTGTCATAATAAAAACACATTAAAGGCTTGCTCATCCACTTAGAAAAGAATGGGAACCCCCTTTACACTCCTAACACGAGTTGAAAGCTTTCGTGTGAAAATGACTATGCATCCATATCCAATCGAACTCCTACCAAAGATAATTCCAAGCAACCCTGTGCTACATCACGGACAGGAAAGCAGCCAGGCACGGTGAGGTACCCTGAAATCACAGCATTTGGAAGGGAAAGACAGGATTCCCACAAGTTGGAGGTTAGCCTGGTCTACATAGCTAGTTCCAAACCGGCCAGGGATCCAGGGCTACATATGGCAAACCATGTTTAAGTACCATGCTTGCCCTGTTTTACAAGGAAAATTCTCTTAAGTTTAAAGCACTTTCTGGGGAAAGAAAAAAAAAAAAAAGAGCCGGGGAGGTCCCGATAGTCCAGGAACATTTATTAGGACACGGCTCAAGTATCCATCCACTGTCCCATTCGCCAGGGACAGCACTGGCAACTTCCCCGGCGACTGTTCTCTTTCTTCGCCACACCCACCAGGGAAGAGGTGGGTTTAGCGGCTGGCGCCCACTCATCCCATGAGAGCAAAGTGGGCTTATTAACTCTGCGCGAAGTGGGTGCTGAAGACTGTCGGGCGGGGACTGGAGAGCGCGGGATCCGGCCCTTCCGGGGCATCTGAACACTTCGCGGGGCCGGCCTCCCCAGGAGCAGCAGCTCTCTCCTAGGAGCTGACCCATTAGGGTCAGCCCCGCGCTGGGGTCAAAGGTGAGCGCCTCGCCCGCAGGGAGGCCTCGAGCGACGTCCGAGGGGCAGGGCCAGGCCGGTAGCGGGCGCTCGAAAGCAGCGGGGAGCGGAGCCGCTCCACTCGGCGGCCCCAGGCCGGCCCCGGCCGCCGCGAGCCGCCCGGGCAGCTGCAGCCCTCCCCCTGCCCCGTCACCCTCGCCCCGCGGCAGGCGCAGGCCCCGCCCCCAGGGCCGCCTCCGGGTCCGGGCCTGCTAGGGCGGACCCGCGGGGGTTGGCCAGGTTCCAGGACCCGGCTGGGCCCGCGCCGCTTACCGAGCCCCCCGCTCCTCCTCCAGCACCCCAGCCGCTCGCAGGCCTGCTCGCTCCCGACTCCGGCAACGCCGCCACTGCTCCGGAATCGCGGGCGCGCTCCCGACCTCCCCGACCCTTAGCCCTAGTCCGCCGAGCCCCGCCGGGTCCTAAAACCCTCCGTTCCTCAGGCTCGTCCACGCCCGCTTCCTGAAGCGCTCTCAGACCACGATTCCCAGCAAGCACCGCAAGGACTACAACTCCCAAAAGACATCGCGAGCGATCTAGCCCTCCCTTATTAAGGCTTTTTTAAATCCGCTGTAGCCGGGTTTTTTTGTTGTTGTTCTTGTTTTTGTTCGTTTTAAATAAGGAAGACTCGGAACTCAGCAGTTCTTCTAGAAATAAATGTATCCTCTAAAAACACTGGCAAAGGTTGGAAAGATATATGTTGCGAAATGTTTGCTTCAGTTTTTGTTTTTGTTTTTTTGTTTTTGTCTTTTTTGAAACAGAGTTTCACTATGTAACCTTGGCTAGCCTGGAACTGGCCATTTAAACCAGGCTGTCCTCAAACTCACATGGAGATTCGCCTGCCTTTGCCTTCTGAGTGTGAAATTAAAGGCCTGGACCACCACCACAACATGTTGCAACGGTTTAAGTGAAATATTGGAAACAAACTCGTGCATTAAATAGAGTGTGATTGATTGGTGGTGGCACATGCCTTTTATCCCAGCATTTGGAAGGCAGAGGCAGGTGGATTTCAATGAATTCGAGGCCAGCGTGGTCTACAAAGTGAGTTACAGGATAGCAGGACTCTCACACTGAGAAGCCCTGTCTCCAAAAAAAAAAAAAAAAAAAAAAAAAAAAAGTCCTCTCCTGGCAGTCCTGGCACTTACTCTGAGATTAAAGGCATGTCCCATCAGCACCCATAGCCCAGTTTTTTTTTTTGTTTGTTTGTTTGTTTGTTTATTTTTCGAGACAGGGCTTCTCTGTGTAACTTTGGAGGCTGTCCTGGAACTTGCTCTGTAGACCAGGTTGGCCTTGAACTCACAGAAGGAAGAAATCTGCATGCCTCTGAGATTAAAGGCATGGAACACCACCGCCTGGCTACAGTCCAATCTTACAGAGGCATTTTCTTCACTGGGATTCCCTTGCCTCAGATGACTCTGCCTGTTGACATAAAATTTTATGTCAAGTTGACATAAAATTAGCCAACACAGGTAGGAAAGTGAGGCGGTACTCTAATAGAATATAAAGCAAGTAGCCAGGCATGATGTTTCATACCTGTTAATCCCAGCCTTGAGAACTAGAGATAGGAAGATCAGAAGTTCACAGTTAACTTCATCTTTACAGAGAATTCAAGGCCAGCCTGTGCTACAAGACGCCCTAATTTTTAAAAATGAAAATAAGGAATGTGACTGGAGAGATGACTCAGCGATTAAGAGCACTGACTGCTGTTCCAGAGGGGTTTGGTTTGATTTCAGCACCCATATGGCAGCTCAAAAGCCACCTGTAACTCCCATCCCAGCACCACCTTCTGACCTCTGTGGGAACCAGGCACACATGAGGTACAAACACATAAAGGCAAAATACCCATACACACTTAAAAAGCAAATAAGGACGAAGGGAAAGAGAGGGAAATGGGAGTGAGGAAGAGAAGTAGGAAGGAAGGAGAAATTAAGCAAAGGAAGGAACCATGCCTTGGGTAGTTAGGATAAATGTGACACGTGACTTGAATTTAGCAAGTAGGTTCAGTCTCAAAAGGCTTTAATTCTTAGTCAAGGACAGCAAAGGTAGCCCAGTGGTGGTGGCACACACCTTTGGTCCCAGCACTTGGGAGGCAGGGATATGCCAGTCTCTGAGTTCAAAGCCAACCTGCTCTACAGAGTTCCAGGACAACCAGGGCTACACAAAGAAGCCCTGTCTTGAAAATAAAAACAAACCAAACAAACAAAAAGATGAAAAAAGACCGACGGCCACAAAAGCCACTGGAGGAAAAAAAATTGGGGGGCAGGAAGGTGATATTAGAGCATGTTGGGATCAAAATGCCTGTGAGCAATATCTAGTAGACATGTAAATGCCCTTTATTGGTACTCAGCAGAGCTATTAGCTAAATACTTTAGAGCCATTGTCTTGGAAAGAATAGTTCAAGCCAAGAAGAAGGGGAAAATGGCCTGAGAAAAGAGAAGTGAATGAGCCAAAGACAAGACAAAACCCTGAGGGTAATGATATCTTAAAGCAAAATCAAAACAGACAAAAGGACCCAGCAAATGAGACAGCAGTATGGACTTTCCAAAGAGCTGTTAAATGCCTCCAACGACACAGGAAATAAAAATATCTTTGAAGCTGTGTGTGGCATCACAGGCTGCAAATATTAATACTGGGGAGGCTGCGGCAGGACAATGGAGAGTTCAAGGCACACAGTCTACAACGTAAGTCCAAGGTCAGCTTGAGCCACATAGAGAGACCTGCTTCAAAAACCCAAAACACCGAGGATGGAGAGATGGCTCAACCATTAAGAATACTAGATGAAGGCGGGTATGGTGGTGCATGCCCTTAATCCCAACACTTGGGAAACAGAGGCCAAGAGGATTTCTGGTCTATAAAGTAAGTTCCAGGACAGTTATAGCTGTTACACAGAGAAACAAACACTGTCTCATAAAACCTCTAATGTGCTGGACAGTGGAGGCACACACCTTTAATCCCAGCACTCAGGAGGCAGAGTCAGGCAGATCTCTGAGTTTGAGGCCAGCCTGGTCTACAGAGTGAGTTCCAGGACAGCCAGGGCTACACAGAGAAACCTGGTCTCAAAAAAACAAAAATGCATAAATAAATAAAATAGATGTTTTTTTTAAAACAAAACAAGAGAAAACCTAAGGCTAGAGAGATGTCTCGGTAATGAGGAGCACTTGCTGTTGAATTCCAGAAAAGATCAATTCAGTTTCCAGCATGCTTTATCAGATAGCCACCAGCCACCACCTGTAACTTCAACTGGCTGGGATGTCCTCTAGTAGGCTCTCTTGGACCACCAACCCCCAAATCATGATACAGAGACTATTAATTATGAAAGCTCTGCCTTAGTTTAGGCCTGTTTCTAACTAGCTCTTGTAACTTAAATTAACCTATTTCTAGTAATCTACAAGCTGTCATGTGGCTTTTACCTCACCTCCTGCCTCTTCTTCCTCCAGACCTCGCTTTCCCCAGAAGTCCCAACTGACCTCTTCCTGCCTAGCTATTGCCCATGCAGCTCTTTGGTTTTTTAAAAGATTTATTTATTTAGTTAGTTATTATACAGTGTTCTGCCTGCATGTATGCAGGTTTCATTACAGATAATTGTGAACCACCATGTGGTTGCTGGGACTTGAACTCAGGACCTCTGGAAGAGCAGCCAATACAGTGCTCTTAATCTCTGAGCCATCTCTCCAGCATGCAGCTCTTTTTTTTTTTTTTTTAAGATTATTTATTATGTATACAGTTTCTGTCTGCATGCATCCCTGCAGGTCAGAAGATGGCACCAGATCTCAATTCAGATGGTTGTGAGCCATCATATGGTTGCTGGGAATTGAACTGAGGACCTCTGGAAGTCCTGCTAGTATTCTTAATCACTGAGTCATCTTTCCAGCCCCAGCCATGCAGCTCTTCATTAAACCAATCACAGTAACACATCTTCACACAGTGTAAAGGAATATTCTGAAACAATGTCCTCTTCTGGCCTAGTTGATCAGCTACATATACCACACACACACTAAAATAAATTTTTAAGATTTTAGTTTCTTTTTTGTTGTTGCTTTTTTTTTTTTTTTTTTTTTTTTTTTTTTTTTTTTGACGTAGGGTTTCTCTGTGTAAGAGCCCTTGCCATCCTGGAACTAGCTCTGTAGACCAAGCCTCAATTAATTTCTATATTTATATGTATGTGTGCCGTGTGTGTGTGTGTGTGTGTGTGTGTGTGTGTGTGTGTGTGTGTGTGTACCTGTAAAGGCCTAAAGAGAGTGTCTGATTTCCTGTAACTGGAGTCACAGGTGGTTGTGTGTTGCCTGATGGGGGTACTGGGAACCAAACTCAGGTCCCCTTGAAAAGCAGAAAGTGTTCTCAATGACTGAATCATCACTCCAAAGCTCCAAACTATCAAAAAAAGAAAAGAAAAGGAAAAAAAAAAAGGATCCTAAAAAGCAGGGGAACCTTACCTATAAATCATAGGTGTGGAGCAGCATATGGTAGTTAATGCACACACAAGAACAGTTTATAATGCCAGCATTTGGGAAGCTGAGGCAGAGGAATTGTCAATAGTTCAAAAACAAACTGTCTCAAATAAATAACAATAAAGAGCTGAGGAGCTGACTCGGTGAGCAAGTATGGACTTTTCAGTAATGCTGTGAGCCTGTGTTTACCACTCGAATGGAAGGGTGAACCTGGGAGAGCAGGACCTAAGAGGCAAAGACTCGTGCAATAGCCAACTTCATTCAGAGCATCACACACTATCCTCTGAGGGTTAAGAAGAGCCAGAGAGTAAAGTATACAATCACAAGGAAAGGCTGCTCCTGGTTAAAACAAACAAACAAACAAACAAAAACATGTTTTTCTGTAGAGGCAGATGAACAAATAACAACAGCCAGCTGTAATGAATAATCTAAAATGAACTCACTCCTATCCAACACATCTGAGAAGGGCATGGAAGTATAATCCAAGAACAACACACACCAGAGAGGAACAGAGGTTACAAGACCCGCCTCGTTTATTTGGAATTTTCTCACAAGGTCTCAGAAATCTCCCCACACAGCTTCATTCATGGGCCTTGTTCCAACACCTGAGTTTGATCCTTGGGACCTGTCTTAGTCACTATTCTATTACTGTGAATAGACATAACGCAGCAACCACTTAAAACATGCCGGGCAGTGGTGGTGCATGCCTTTAATCCCAGCACTTAGGAGGCAGAGGCAGTTGGATCAGAGTTCCTTGACATGCTCCAAAGCTACACAGAAACCCTGTCTTAAAAAAAAAAAAAAAAAAAAAAAAAAAACAAAAACAAAAGCAAAAACAAAAACAAAAAAAAAAACAAAAAACAAAAACCTAGTTCTATCCCCAGCAATTGATACAGTGATTTGAGCCTGTAATCTCAACGTGGGAGGCAGAGGCTGGAGGATCCTTTGAGCTCATTGGATGGCTAGTCAATTGGCTGA